GCTCTCGCGCGCGCTATGAGGCCCGCACAGGTATCGCCGAGCTCTCCATCAGCGAGCGAGCGCGAGAGACAGAGAGAGTGACTGAGCGCGCCAGCGCGACTATATCTCTCTCGCCTACGCGCTCCAAACTCGCCGGTCGCGCTCTCGCTCGCTCAAATACGCTCTCTCTCGCCTCTAGTCTCTCTCTCAAGTCTCTATTCTACTCTTCTCTCTCTCTCTCTATCGTCTCTGTTCCCTTAATCTCCTGGACACTCGCGCTCTCTCTGCTCTCTCTCTCGCTCTATCTTTTTCTCTCCCATCTCTGATCTTTTTTTTCTCTCTCTCTCTCTATAACGTCTCTGTTCCAAAAGGGGACATGAAAAACTGGAATGGGGTGAAAATATTTCATGGTATTTGCATACACAAATAATAATAATAAATCCAACTAAAACCCCAAACGTGTAACAGTTCAGTGCAGTTAAAGTCCCTCCTTCTGAAACAGGCAAGAAACCACAGATTTTTTTGCAGGCAAATATTTGAGGAGCTAATGCTGAGGGTTTATATAAAAAGATTGAGTAGACAGTTATGTGAGTGTCACAAATATATATATATTCTACAAAACAGCTCTCTCCAGTCTCTACAGGCTGAGTCTCTCTCTCTCATCTCTCTCTCTCTCTCTCTCTAATCTCTCTCTCTCTCTCTCTCTCTCTCTCTCTCTCTCTTCTCTCTCTCTCTCTTATCTCTCTCTCTCTCTCTCTCTCTCCTCTCTCTCTCTCTCTCGCTCTCTCTCTCTCTCTCTCTCTGTCTCTCTCTCTCTCTCTCTCTCTCCACAGCCAGAATACAGTCACTCCTCTGTCTCTTTATGCGTATGCCTATGTTTCACACTCAGACAGAGAGGATCTTTACTATGGAATATCATCCTAATAATAGTCAACAGTCTACATTCCTATCCTATCTACTCTCACTCTCATTCATTAGAGTGCTGCGTGTGTGTGTGTGTGTGTGTGGTGTGTGTGTGTGTGTGTGTGTGTGTGTGTGTGTGTGTGTGTGTGTGTGTGTGTGTGTGTGTGTGTGTGTGTGTGTGTGGTGTGTGTGTGTGTGGTGTGTGTTGTGTGTGTGTTGTGTGTGTGTGTGTGTGTGTGGTGTGTGTGTGTGTGTGTGTGTGTGTGTGTGTGTGTGTGTGTGTGTGTGTGTGTGTGTGTGTGTGTGTGTGTGTGTGTACTCACCAGTTCATTGAGGGTTTATTAGACTCCATGTAAACACAGTCAGTGATTTCCTTGTGAATCCACTGATTCCTTTACTCAGAGATTTCCAACAGAATAAAGCCTCTCAGAGTAGGAGTGGAGTGCTGATCTAGAAGCAGGTCCCCCCCCCCCCCCCGTCCCGTCCCCCCCCGTCCGTCCATGTAATCGTATTAATTATGATCTAAAAGGCAATACTGATCCTAGATCAGCACTCCTACTTTGAGACACTTTGAAGGAGGTTTCAGTTTTGCTAGGGTGTTGTGGACGGGGGTGACTGTAACCATCTGCCTTTGATTCCTAAAGTTGCAAGTTCGAGTCTAGCGATAGAAAGTTTCGTCAAATTTCAGTGGCCCATCCACAATCCCCGTCCACAACACCCTAGCAAAACTGAAACCTACTTGAAGGTCACAATACTCACTGTTGCCCCTAGTGTCCGGTTTCCACATCATCTACCGACATCCTCAGACATTAATGGATGTCCAATACTGACTTGTATCAAGGGTGACCTGGCTGGTGTGGCAGCAGATAGCATAGTGGTTTGAGCGTTGGGCCGGGTAACCGAAAGGTCGCTTGTTTGATTCCCCGAGCTGACAAGGTGAAAAATGTGTCAATGTGCCCTTGAACAAAGGCATTTAACCCCAATTGCTCCAGGGTCTCTGTTGATAATGGCAGACCGTGACTGCACTCTGAGGGTGTCTCGGGTGGATATGATATAACCACCCACCATGTTGTTATTCATGATACAAGGATCACTGGTTTGGTTTACACACTATATTGATCGGTTGCTTTCATTTTCTGTCTCTCGGCAGCTGTATTGATCAGATCAGAGTTGTCGTGAGAGCAGTCTGACTTGACAGTGGTGAGATCAGAGTTGTCGTGAGAGCAGTCTGACTTGACAGTGGTGAGATCAGAGTTGTCGTGAGAGCAGTCTGACTTGACAGTGGTGAGATCAGAGTTGTCGTGAGAGCAGTCTGACTTGACAGTGGTGAGATCAGAGTTGTCGTGAGAGCAGTCTGACTTGACAGTGGTGAGATCAGAGTTGTCGTGAGAGCAGTCTGACTTGACAGTGGTGAGATCAGAGTTGTCGTGAGAGCAGTCTGACTTGACAGCGGTGAGATCAGAGTTGTCGTGAGAGCAGTCTGACTTGACAGCGGTGAGATCAGAGTTGTCGTGAGAGCAGTCTGACTTGACAGCGGTGAGATCAGAGTTGTCGTGAGAGCAGTCTGACTTGACAGTGGTGAGATCAGAGTTGTCGTGAGAGCAGTCTGACTTGACAGCGGTGAGATCAGAGTTGTCGTGAGAGCAGTCTGACTTGACAGTGGTGAAATCAGAGTTGTCGTGAGAGCAGTCTGACTTGACAGTGGTGAGATCAGAGTTGTCGTGAGAGCAGTCTGACTTGACAGTGGTGAGATCAGAGTTGTCGTGAGAGCGGTCTGACTTGACAGCGGTGAGATCAGAGTTGTCGTGAGAGCAGTCTGACTTGACAGCGGTGAAATCAGAGTTGTCGTGAGAGCAGTCTGACTTGACAGTGGTGAGATCAGAGTTGTCGTGAGAGCGGTCTGACTTGACAGCGGTGAGATCAGAGTTGTCGTGAGAGCAGTCTGACTTGACAGTGGTGAGATCAGAGTTGTCGTGAGAGCAGTCTGACTTGACAGTGATGAGATCAGAGTTGTCGTGAGAGCAGTCTGACTTGACAGTGGTGAGATCAGAGTTGTCGTGAGAGAAGTCTGACTTGACAGCGATGAGATCAGAGTTGTCGTGAGAGCAGTCTGACTTGACAGTGGTGAGATCAGAGTTGTCGTGAGAGCAGTCTGACTTGACAGTGGTGAGATCAGAGTTGTCGTGAGAGAAGTCTGACTTGACAGTGATGAGATCAGAGTTGTCGTGAGAGCAGTCTGACTTGACAGTGAAAAGCAGAAGGAAGCACTCTGGTGTCAACCAACTGTGTCACACTTACTGCACTTTGACCTGATAAGTTGGAATGCACTGTAGCCTATAGTGAACAACAGCTCTGCATACTTCTAACGGGGTAATACTGATTTTTCTAGGGAGTTCTATCCAGTGTGGAACTATGTTAACCCCGGTCATGTCACATTTTGAATGTTGCATGTTTTTTCATTGAGACACTCGTGATTTACAGCACGGTTAAGTGTGTTGGGCCAGTGACTAAAAGGTTGCTGGTTCGAATCCCTGAGCCGAATAGGTGAACAATCTGCCTGTGCCCTTGAGCAAGGCACTTAACCCTAGTTGCTCTGGATAAGAGCGTCTGCTAAATGACTGAAATGTATGAAATAAATTCCGGTCGCAGGAATACAGGTTCTCATTAGTTTATTGTTACATTTGTCATTCAAGTGCACAGAATATCTGGCAACATCTAACTGACAACATCTAACTGGCAACATCTATCTGACAACATCTAACTGACAACATCTAACTGACAACATCTAACTGGCAACATCTATCTGACAACATCTAACTGACAACATCTAACTGACAACATCTAACTGGCAACATCTAACTGACAACATCTAACTGGCAACATCTAACTGGCAACATCTAACTGGCAACATCTATCTGGCAACATCTAACTGGCAACATCTAACTGACAACATCTATCTGACAACATCTAACTGGCAACATCTATCTGACAACATCTAACTGGCAACATCTAACTGGCAACATCTAACTGACAACATCTAACTGGCAACATCTAACTGGCAACATCTAACTGGCAACATCTAACTGGCAACATCTATCTGGCAACATCTATCTGACAACATCTAACTAACATTTTCTAAGTGATAGCAAAGAAGTAGAGGGCCTTGACTAGCTTAATAATAGACCATGAAGTTAGTCGAGCTGCTTATCATGATCACTGTCACACGGTATAGCCCAAGGCTGTAAGCATTGTAAATCAGTGTCAACATAGACATGAGCTGATAAAGAAAGTGATAAGTTCGGGATAAGTTTAAGAGGCTAGTAACTTCTTACTCCTCCACTCCGTGAGTTTCCACTTCCCACTTGCAGTCCGAGTCAGAGTGATGCAAGTTAGCGCCTGACGGGCCTTCTGAGGTGGCAGAGCCGGCAGCGGTGGGTAGAGAACAGGGCAGTGGCACCCACAGTGACCCGATGGGCGGAGTGGCAGAGAGGGATGGAAGGGCAGGCCTGGCAGGGTGCGGTCTCGAGTGGCAACTGATCCCTCGGATCACTCAAATTCCCAATTCAACTGGAAAGGCAAAGCGGCAGAGACAAACGGACAAGGAGAAACGCCAGAACCAGTAGTGTTCCTCCTCGTTTGACACTGACAGCACCTCAGTGGCAAACCACAGCATCAAGAAGGCAATATGCGACCACTGTTCACTACAGAAGATCGACTTTGAACCTGTTTGTTTAAATGAACAGACTTTACAACTCCATGCCCATATCTGTTGGCTCCCGACGAGGAGAAAGAACAAGATACAGTTAAGCGGCGGCGTTTGGACAACACCGGACTCGGACGCCCGGAGACATTGAACTTTTACCCCTGCTGCCGGTTCCATAAAACAAAGCATTCGGCTAAATGACTTTTTTATTTATTTTATTTTTTAGCTTTTACGGACACTTGCTGTGCGCACGGAGGATGGCGTGGATAAGGCTTATACAATATTAAAGATCCTGTCCCCTACCCTCCATTCCTTACCCCGTGGGGGGAACGAGGAGCATCCAGGGGAGGGGGTAGCTTGAGACACCACCGCGACCTGTGCCACCTTTACCACCGGCCTCGCCGGTCTGGCTGGGATGCGTCTCTCCGTGCTTGTGGGGCTCTTCATCGGCTGCGCCCTGCTTCTCACACCTGTAACGGAGGGCTGTGGTCCGGGGAGGGGATACGGAAAGAGACGTCCGCCAAAGAAGCTCACACCCCTCTCTTATAAGCAGTTCAGCCCAAACGTTGCGGAGAAAACACTGGGCGCCAGTGGCAGACACGAAGGGAAAATAACGAGAAATTCAGAACGCTTCAAAGAGCTTATACCCAACTATAACCCTGATATCATATTTAAAGATGAGGAGAATACGGCTGCCGATCGACTTATGACCCAGGTGAGAAGCAGGCATAGGGGTTTTAAAACGTCATCTGATTGCTTTTATCTCACTTCGACAGCTGCGGCGAGGTGACCAGGTGGTCTCATTGGACCTGCTGTTCATCGTTCGTTTGAGAGCTTCTGTTTGCACTTTGTTAACAGTTTAAACCATTAAACTTTAAACGTTATTGATTCTCAGCGCTTTCATCTCAGTTTTGGTTCAATGGATTTATTTTTGACAGTTGAAAATTACATGTCAATTATGCAATAGGCACATAGGCTTTAACTAGCCTACCCGCTATACATTTAGGTTATATTGAAACACTGTAACCTACTTTTAAATGTTTTGATGTGCTAACTTGTCTCCGGTTTGAGAGATAAATTAGGCTGGGCATGCACGTAGACATCACCCAAAATAAAAGGGCGCGAGTTAATGAGTTGATAAATGTTTAGCAGGTTGAATTCTATTGTTCATAAAATATACAAATCTTTTTTTTTAAATAATATAAATAACCCTCGATACACAGGAATAATGTCCCAACATTTTAATGCCACATTTCCAGGTATTTTCTATCTGTTTTGAGTGGAGAGTGAAAATTACGCACGTGTCATTACGCATGGATCATGTTTGAATAGCTTGCGATTTATTTGCTGAAATCCCTCTGATCTCTTCTAAAAGCAAGATCACAAAGAAATACAAATGTCTGTACATATATCTATTTTATTTTGCTGCAAAAATAACAAAGCAAACAATGTTTCCCTGACCGTTTTGAACGTGGTCAATATTTTGCCAAAGACAAAACATGTCCATACATGCCTATGGCATCGGTTGTAGGCTAGGCTACTTCACTTTGACCACCAGTGACCAATCTCTTATTTTATATTTGTTTTGTGTCTCCTCTCTCTCTCTCTCTCTCTCCCAGCGTTGTAAAGACAAGCTGAACTCCCTGGCCATCTCTGTGATGAACATGTGGCCTGGGGTGAAGCTGAGAGTGACAGAGGGTTGGGACGAGGACGGACACCACTCAGAGGACTCCCTCCATTATGAGGGACGGGCGGTGGACATCACCACCTCAGACCGGGACAGGAACAAGTACTCCATGCTGGCTCGCCTGGCCGTGGAGGCAGGCTTCGACTGGGTCTACTATGAATCCAAAGCACACGTGCACTGCAGTGTCAAGTCAGGTAAGGGGATGGGACACAGATACAGACAGAAAAAAAAAAAAAAAAACGTATTATCAACATGTATAAGAGCACCGCCTGTTGTACTGGCAACATGCAGTACTGCTAGCCTCAACTGCAGTCTCAGAGAACACTGGTAAGCTTAGAGATAGTTTCAGGAAGGTCTGTCAGGGAGAGACTACAGTGCTGCTGGCTGGTGGTCAGGTTAACCCCTGTTGATTTGTTAAAGCATCCCATTTGTCCCTTGGCTCTGAGTGTGGTCAGTTGTTATTAGGCCAACTCAGGTGAGGTGTTAGACGAGGGGTCAGGTGGGGTGAGGTGTTTAGACGAGGGGTCAGGTGGGGTGAGGTGTTGACGAGGGTTCCAGTGGGGTGAGGTGCGAGACGAGGGGTCAGGTGGGTAGGTGTTAGACGAACCCGAGGGGTCAGGTGGGGTGGGGTGTTAGACGAGGGGTCAGGTGGGGTGAGGTGTTAAGACGAGGGGTGGTGGGGTGGTTGTAGACGAGGGAGAAGGGGGTAAGGTGGGTGAGGTGAGGTGTTAGACGAGGGGTCAGGTGGGGTGAGGTGAGACGAGGGTCAGGTGGGGTGAGGTGCTAGACCGGGGGTCAGGTGGGGGTGAGGTGTTAGAGAGGGGTCAGGTGGGGTGAGGTGTAGACGAGGGGTCTAGGTGGGGTGAGGTGTAGAGAGGGTAGGTGGGTGTGAGACCGAGGGGTCAGGTGGGGTGGGGGTGAGGGTGGTGTAGACGAGGGGTCAGGTGGGGTGAGGTGCTAGACGAGGGGTCAGGTGGGGTGAGGTGTTAGACGAGGGGTCAGGTGGGGTGAGGTGTTAGACGAGGGGTCAGGTGGGGTGAGGTGTTAGACGAGGGGTCAGGTGGGGTGAGGTGTTAGACAAGGGGTCAGGTGGGTGAGGGCTAGAGGGGGGTCAGGTGGGGTGAGGGTGTTAGACGAGGGGTCAGGTGGGGTGAGGTGTTAGACAAGGGGTCAGGTGGGGTGAGGTGGAGAGAGGGGTCAGGTGGGGTGAGGTGTTAGAAGAGGGGGTCAGGTGGGGTGAGGTGGTAGACGAGGGGGTCAGGTGGGGTGAGGTGTTAGACGAGGGGTCAGGTGGGGTGAGGTGAGGGGTTAGACGAGGGGTCAGGTGGGGTGAGGTGCGAGACGAGGGGTCAGGTGGGGTGAGGTGTTAGACGAGGGGTCAGGTGGGGTGAGGTGTTAGACGAGGGGTCAGGTGGGGTGAGGGGTGCTTAGATGAGGGGTCAGGTGGGGTGAGGTGTTAGACGAGGGGTCAGGTGGGGTGAGGTGTTAGACCTGAGGTGAGACAGCTCATTACCGTCAGTCTGTCAAGACAAGAGTCTGCAGGGAGTCAATTAGAGGAAGAACCTTCTGGGTTCTGGACTTGGGTAGCGCCTCACTGTAGTCTACATTATCTGGTGATGGACTACACCCAAACAGGATTTTCTCTGAGGTAGTGTGTGTTCTCTAATGATTTCCTGTCTAAATGGCTGGAAGTGTAACACAGGGTCAGCAAGAGCCAAGCCCTGTTAATAGTTGTCTGCATGTACACATGACTGCGTGGTGGTGGGACAGTTCAGAGTAGAGTTGACGCTTGAAGGAGAGAGGCCCCACTCTAAGAGCTGGTTAACTGATTCACTTTCTCCTTTTGTTTCCCTGTAGGGTGGTTTTCTCTAGTCTCCCTTCTCAGATCTGATCTTATCACCTGGCCTTGGTGCTTACCCTTCCCAAATATTGGTTTTTGGACCCACTGGGAGACTTGAGACTGCCATTCCAGTGTCTCAGGCTGCGTTTAGACAGGCAGCCCAATTCTGACCAGGGCCAGAATGTAGGGAATAGGTTGACATCTTTACCTTCATCTTTACCTTCATTTTCACATTAATCTTTACCTCCATCTTTACCTTCATCTTTACATTACATTACATTTTAGTCATTTAGCAGACGCTCTTATCCAGAGCAACTTACAGTTAGTGAGTGCATACATATATATATATATATATATTTTTATACTGGAATCGAACCCACAACCCTGGTGTTGCAAACGCCATGCTCTACCAACTGAGCTACATCCCTGCCGGCCATTCCCTCCCCTACCCTGGACGACGCTGGGCCAATTGTGCGCCGCCCCATGGGTCTAAATTCATTTTCATCTTTACCTTCTAAATTACCTTCATCTTTACCTTAATCTTCATCTTTACCTTCATCTTTACCTTCATCTTAATCTTCATTTTCACATTAATATTTACCTTCATTTTCATCTTTACATTAATAATTACCTTAATATTTACCTTCATCTTTATCTTCATCTTTACCTTCATCTTTACCTTCATCTTTACTTTCATCTTTACCTTCATCTTTAACTTCATCTTTACATTAATATTTACCTTCATCTTCATCTTTACATTAATAATTACCTTAATATTTAACTTCATCTTCATCTTTACATTAATAATTACCTTAATATTTACCTTCATCTTTACATTAATATTTACCTTCATCTTTACATTAATATTTACCTTCATCTTTACTTTCATCTTTATCTTCATCTTTACCTTCATTTTCATCTTTACCTTAATTTTTACATGAATCTTTACCTTCATCATTACTTTCATTTTTACCTTCATCTTAACCTTCATCTTTACCTTCATCTTTATCTTCATCTTTACCCTATTATACATTATACTTCTCACACTGGGACTTCTGACCTCAACTCATTTCAGTGGAAGTGGAGATTGGATCATTGGGTTACTCATTAGCTCGTAATGCATTTCTTCTGAATCTTGAGCAAAGTTGAGTTGAAAAGGAGAGATTGGTAGTTAGTGTGAAGAATGGCATTTGAAGTGTTTACCTGTGAACACACAGACTGCCAGTGTTTCAATGGAAGGTTGTTTGTAAGGATTATGTGTTTAAATAAAGTGTGTGTGTGTGTGTGTGTGTGTGTGTGTGGGTGGGTGTACACATGCATGTGTGCAGCTATGCGTGCCTGCCTGCGTGTATTGATGTATCATAACAAGACATCTGCATTTTAACAGGCAGCCCAATTCTGATCTATTTCCACTAATTGTACGTTTGACAAATCACATCAGATCTTTTCACATCAGATCGTTTTTAGAGCTGATCTGATTGTTCAAAAGACTAATTAGTGATCAGAATTGGGCTGCCTGTTGAGTTACTGTGTCTGAAGCCTACAGGTCTTAACAAAGCCCTTCAATAAGAAGAGCCTATCTCTCCAGACTCTCTCGCTCCGTCGGCGAAAAAAACAAAGGAAAGCCGAGAAAGAAGACGTGAAACCCCACAAGAGCCTCGCACCTCGCTTCTCTCCCCCTTTCCCCTCTCTCTCTCTCCACCCTCCACCCGCAGCTCCTTGCGGCCCGCGCTCTGCTATGGTCTCTCTCGGCCAACCCTCCCCCCTCTACTCCGTTCCCACTCTCTCTCTTTTCTCTCGTCTCCAACCCTCCCCCATCACCTCCTTTCCCCTCTCTCAGAGCACCAGTATCAGCTAACGGACCGGGGGTTGTTTTCCCGGGTCGTTTTCCTGGTGACTCTGGAGGACGGGAAGGCAGCAGGGCAGTGCAGGACCTCCAGCCAGGCGACCGGGTCCTGGCCTCCTCAGGGGTTTGACGGCAGCGGGAACGGAGGACACCTCGTGTACAGTGAGTTCTTCACATTCCTGGACCACGAGCCTGCAGCGAGGAAACAGTTCTACGTGTTGGGAACAGAGACGGGAGCAAACCTGACCCTCACCGCGGCTCATCTTGTGTTCGTGACCGAGGGTAACTGTTCGGTGGGCGATTCGGCCAAGGGTGCTGTCATGCGGACTATGTACGCCAGCGACGTACGGCCAGGACAGTGTGTGCTGACTGCAGGGGGAAACCAGGGACCACAGGGAAACCTCTCCCCAGTCATCTGGGTCCACATCCAGGTGGACACCGGGGCCTTCGCACCCCTGACACGCCACGGCTCACTGGTGGTGGATGGCGTCCTAGCTTCGTGTTACGCTGCTATGGACCAGCACCACCTAGCCCACTGGGCCTTTGGTCCCCTTCGCCTGCTGTACAGCTGGTCCAGCTGGACCGGGACTGGTGCCTCTCTGGGAGATGGACTACACTGGTACTCACAAGTCCTGCATTGGATAGGAACGTTCCTACTGGACCCTGGACACTTCCACCCCTGGGGGATGGTCACGCATGACTCAGAGAGATAAAGAGAGAGAGAGAACAGATAGAGAGAGAGAACAGAGAAAAGAAAAGAGAGGGAGGCCGCAAGAAAATGGTCAAATCAAATCAAATTTTATTTGTCACATGCTTCGTTGACAACAGGTGTAGACTAACAGTGAAATGCTGCTTACTTACGGGTCCATTTCCAACAATGCAGAGTTAAAGATCAGATACTAATACTACAGAAAATAGAAATAGTGACTTAAGAAATAAATACACAGTGAATAACGAATAAAAATAATGAGTAAAATGAACATGGATATATAAAATATATATACAAAAGTATGTGGACACCCCTTCAAATTAGTGGATTCGGCTATTTCAGCCACACCCGTTGCTGACAGGTGTATAAAATCTAGCACACAGCCATGCAATCTCCATAGACAAACACTGGCAGTAGAATTGCACGTAGTGAAGAGCTCAGTGACGTTCAACGTGGCACCGTCCTAGGATGCCACCTTTCCAACAAGTCAGTTCGTCCAATTTCTGCTCTGCTAGAGCTGCCTCGGTCAATTGTAAGAGCTGTTATTGTGAAGTGGAAACGTCTAGGAGCAACAACGGCTCAGCCGCGAAGTGGTAGGCCACACAAGCTCACAGAACGGGACCGCTGAGTGCTGAAGCGCGTAGCGCGTAAAAATCATCTGTCCTCGGTTGCAACACTCACTACCGAGTTCCAAACCACCTCTGGAAGCAATGTCAGCACAATAACTGTTCGTCGGGAGCTTCATGAAATGGGTGTCCATGGCCGAGCAGCCGCACACAAGCCTAAGATCACCATGCGCAATGCCAAGCGTCTGCTGGAATGGTGTAAAGCTCACCGCCATTGGACTCTGGCAGTCCAACAGATGAATCTGGGTTTGGCGGATGTCAGGAGAACGCTACCTGCCGCAATGCATAGTGCCAACTGTAAAGTTTGGTGGAGGAGGAATAATGGTCTGGGGCTGTTTTTCATGGTTCGGGCTAGGCCTTAACGCTACAGCATACACAGTTTGTGGAGGCCCTTTCCTGTTTCAGCATGACATTGCCCCCGTGCACAAAGCGAGGTTCATACAGAAATGGTTTGTCGAGATCGGTGTGGAAGAACTTGACTGACCTGCACAGAGCCTTGACCTCAACCCCATCGAACACCTTTGGGATGAATTGGAACACCGACTGCGAACCAGACCTAAACGCCCAACATCAGTGCCCGACCTCACTAATGCTCTTATGGCTGAATGGAAGCAAGTCCCCGCAGCAATGTTCCAACATCTAGTGGAAAGCCTTCCCAGAGGAGTGGAGGCTGTTATAGCAGCAAAGGGGCGACCAACTCCATATTAATGCCCATGATTTTGGAATTAGATATTTGACGAGCAGGTGTCCACATACTTTTGGTCAGGTAGTGAGTGTGTGTGTGTGTGACGTCAGTATACGTGTGTGTGTGTGTGTGGGAGTATGTAGTGTGCCTTTAAAAGCATTTAATGTCTACAGACGTGAGTGCTACGGGGCGATTTAGACAGGTTACCTTGGCGCTCTTGGGCACAGGGACTATGGAGGTCTCTATGAAACATGTAGGTATTACGGACTCAGACAGGGAGAGGTTGAAAATGTCAGTGAAGACACTTGCCAGCTGGTCAGCGCATGCTCTGAGTACGTGTACTGGTAATCCGCCTGAATGTTAACCTGTTTAAAGATCTTACTCACATCTGTTACGGAGAGCGTGATCACACAGTCGTCTGGAACAGAAACGGTGCTCTCATGCATGGTTCAGTGTTGCTTGCCATGGAAGGCATTTATCTCGTCTGGTAGGCTCGTGTCACTGGGCAGCTCGTAGCTGAAAACTCTCTTGGTAAATAGTATGGTCTACAGCTTTATCATGAGGTACTCTAACTCAGGCGAGCAGAACCTCGAGACTTCCTTAATATTAGAGATCGCACACCAGCTGATGTTAACAGAGACACACACCCCCCGCTCTTGAGTTTTACGAGACGCTGCCGTTCTGTCTTTGCCGATGCATAGAAAAACCAGCTAGATTTATATTAAGCATGTCCCCGTTCAGCCACGACTTCGTGAAGCATAGTTCTTCAGGTCCCGTTGATAGGATAGTCTCGAACAGAGCTCATCCAGTTTGTTCTCCAGCCTTAAATAATCATTGTTTAGACCTTTCTCATCATATGCCTTCCTCTTTTCAGGACCACGCGAGTCCATGACACTCAACACTGGAATATGTACACAAACACACCACACCACACACCACACACACACACACGAGGTAAACAGTCAAACACACTCAGGTTAGATAACGAGGAGACAGAGAATAGAGAGAGGGTGAATTGAAGCGTCTTCAGAACCAGGAGTCTGATGTTGGTTAAGCAGGACACTACGTTTATTAAAGGGTTCATGCTTTTCAGAGGAATTCACAGGTTCATGTTTACCTGGCCGACTACATGTATTGGTCTGTATAGGGGTTTGTTGTAAAAGTATGTTAACTTGTCTGACACGCGTGTAATATCATCCTGTCTAGGTCTATCGATCTGTCCAGGTTTTTCTGTAGTCATGTCTTCATGTCTTCAGGTCTTCATGTCTTCAGGTCTTCAGGTCTTCATGTCTTCATGTCTTCAGGTCTTCATGTCTTCAGGTCTTCATGTCTTCATGTCTTCATGTGTTCATGTTCGGCCTACCTGTGTGTTACATTGTGGATTAATATTATCTACATGAAATCTGAGGCATTATGTTATTTTTGCTGAACTATGTCAGATGTATATTATTATATTATGTTGTGAGAAACTATTTAAAGATCTATTTTTAAAATTACTGAAATGTATTTCTGCAATTCTTTACTAATTAGTATTTTGCTCATGAGCATAGACTCTTGAGAGATCATAATTCAGCACACAAACAACATGAGCCAGTCACTACAAACAAATACCAACGCTCCACCAATACAATACAAATACAAAACAATCCCTCTGTAGCTCAGCTGGTAGAGCACGGCGCTTGTAACGCCAAGGTAGTGGGTTCGATCCCCGGGACCACCCATACACCAAAAAAAATGTATGCACGCATGACTGTAAGTCGCTTTGGATAAAAGCGTCTGCTAAATGGCATATTATTATTATGAAAGCCAACTGTTCAGGACACTGACTATAGCTCATACCCATGCAATGCCTAATGTCTCCAGTACTCGGCCTTACATGTACCATCAATACTATCGATTTATTCGAAACAGATATATATATATATATTACTCCAATATGACTCTACAGTACGTCGCCAACATCTGCAATCCTACAGGCAGAGAAGGGGGCCGCCCTGAACCCAGGTAAGTGTCGCAGTCTTCTCAGGAGGTAAGGGGACTCATAAACTAACGCCACTTCCTGGTGATACTTCCTGGTGATACTTCCTGGGTTCACTGTTGACTGATGTCCATCCTCTCTTCTTCATCTCTCTGATAGACCTTTAAAGAAGACAAAACATGGTCCACATGAGGAAATGTACTTTATAACCATAGAAATTGACTGACTAGAACAGATAAAGCCCTTCAGGCAACTTTGACTTGAATGTACATTCTAGATCTGTCTGTGCCGTCTTGCCAACTCCATCACTGTCATTTTATTTTGCCTGAAGGGCTTCATCTGTTCTAGTCAGTCCATTTCTATGGTTATAAAGTACATTTCCTCATGTGGACCATGTTTTGTCTTCTTTAAAGGTATATCAGAGAGATGAAGAAGAGAGGATGGACATCAGGCAACAGTTCCATACGTAGTTGGCAAGAAAACAGAAACAGATGGGCCACCCAGGCTAATTTCACTGAAAGAATAGCCTGGTCTAAAGTCTAATTGACTATACAGCACAAAAAGATCTGGGACCAGGCTAAATATGAGAGAAATGACCGGTATCGGTAAAGATGAGCTGAATCAGTGAGGCAGTACTGGAGACGTGAAGACTGCTAAGCCGATGTTGAAGATGTCACGTCCAGTGTCGATGTGTGCGAACTGGAAGTACTTCACATCCGTTTCCGTAGCGATTGTGTAGGTTACACTGAGAACAGCTCCTGGGATAGAATCCTTTATCAGTTCATCTGTCCTCTATTTCTCATTACCTCTCTCCTGGCCTCCTCAAAATGTATTGGAGGAGAAGAGTGGCGCAGTGCTAACTGTGCCACCTAGAGATCCTGGTTTGAATCCAGGCCGCGACCGGGAGACCAGTATAAAAAAATATGTATTCACTAACTGTAAGTCGCTCTGGATAAGAGCGTCTGCTAAATGACTAAAATGTAAAAATGTAAATGTAAGGTCACAGGGGAGGGATTTTGGATCTTCCAAGAAGAGAGAGGATATAAGGAATTCGGAGAAAGACGAATTGAGAAAGAGTCACTCAACGGAAAGAGAACAGGCAGACTTGTAGACAGACACACTGGAGGAAGACAGACAGATGACAGATAAGGAAACTAACCGTAGATGACCAAGGGGACAGAGGTGATGAGCTGTGTCAGTCGAGGGGACACTCCTAGGGCCAGCCCCAAAATGGCTGCCAGTTGCACTGTCTGCCTGGACTCAGCCTCCTGGACTCAGCCTCCTGGACTCAGCCTCCTGGACTCAGCCTCCTGGACTCAGCCTTGGAGGAGAGAGAGCAGCGGAAAGAGTCAAAAGATAGACACTAAATGCAGAGTGGAAATCAGCACTCAAACACATTGACATTTACATTTAGCAGATACACTTGTCCAGAGCGACTTACAGGAGCAATTAGGGTTTAGTGCCTTGCTCAAGGGCACATCGGCAGATTTCTCACTTAGTCGGCTCGGGGATTGGGTTACTGGCCCAAGGCTCCTAACCGCTTGGCTACCTGCCGCCCTGACATAAACACAACATAAAGTATAGAGCTGGGCCGTATCCACAAAGCAACTCAGAGTGGGCTGATCTAGGATCAGTTTTGCCTTTTAGATCACAATGAATAACATACAGTATGGACAGATCGTAGATCAGGACTCCTACTCTACGATGCTTTGTGG